ATTTCAAAATCATCCGTTGCAACTTGTTCTGTAATTTCATTACAACATGCTCTGTCAATCTTGTCAAGAAATTCGTCTATTATGTCCAGAAGCTTGGCAAACTGTATTATAGATTTCTGCTCCATTTTCTTTATCCTCTAGCTCCCTCTAGTGTCCAGCCTTCAAAGTCCACTTATCATGAAAAACAACTGCCATTTTTCCCATAAGAAAATTTCTTCTAGTTAAACTCTTTGTAGGCACTTAAAATTATAATTCCAAGTCCTTAATCCATTATTAAACTTTCTAAAGTCCACATTCTGACCACCCTTTTGCTGTTTAATCCAAAAAACAATATTTTTCAAAAGGTGATAAAAATCCTATTTAAAAGTTCTTCCTCTAAAGAGAAGGCAACTCACCTAGTGATACAATATAACTTGCTGTTTCAAAAGGTCTTGATCCTTTTAAAACAGCAGAAAAAAACCAAATCCAAAGTAATTAAGAAGTGAGGCTTGGTCAGCTTAGTCCCCTTTAAAAAGGCTGAGTTAACGACTGTGAGCAAAGAGGATTCTTCCCATGACTTGCAGCTGCTCGACCCATAGGCAAATGGCAAAATGATGATGATTCCTGCAGTTTACTGATGAGGAGTGGCTGTGCAGAGTAAGGTGCGCTATCTCAAAGATCTTCCTTAATCCAGAGAGCATTTCGATGGCCAGGATCCTGCACCCCGTGCCGATCTCCATCGTAACGCTGTCCTGCTGAAAAAAGGGATATTTAGCTCACCATGGCTCTCAACCAGAAGTCCCCAGCAAGGCTGGTTCTCAGCAATCCCTCCTGCTGTTATGATCAGAGAATCCAAGAGCAGCCTTTAACCCATCTTAACTATTTTCCTGGGCTTGCCCAGCTACTGAAGAGATATAGCTCCACTCAGCCAGCGTGGACAGTTACTGCAAGGGGGCCCAGTGCCTTTGCCCACTTCTTGGCAAACCAATGACGTGGCTGTGGCTTTTCTTATGTTAGCCTTTTGACGTACTATCTTCACCGAGCAGCTGATATACTAGTTTGTTTTCTCTTCCCTTATTTTGAACACTCCCTGGATTCAACGGACAAATAAGTGAGAAGGGTTGTCTGCTAAAGCAGAAGGTCCACTAAATCCAAATGGAATGTTATATGTGCATCTTTTATGGATTTGATGCATACATAAAATGGAACGGTGATTTTACAGGCTCTCCCTCTGAGCCCCATTGATGGGCTTCTCCCTCCCCCCTGCTAAAGGCCAAAGGAAATATGTCACTGCCCACCCAGCTGCCTTGACAGCATCCTTGCTCTGGCCTCAGGAACAAGGTCAGGAGCAGGCTGACCTCCCACCAGCCTCAGGCCTGAGGTGCGGGTTTCTGAGAGGGCAGTGATGGTTCCAGCTTGACAGGAGTGACCCTCTGCAAAGGGGCCTGGGCACCCAGATGAGCTGCCCTGGCACCACTGCAATGGCTGCCACCCACCTTCTGCCTCTGCTTTTCCCTCCAGTCCACCATCGCTGACACCTGACTCTCTGGGGCTGCTGGTCTGTAAGTGGTTCCAAGGAAAGATCTTGGTGCCCTCCCCTCCCCTT